TCCATTCTTCATAGCATTGGCTAGTATCTTCAGTATATGTTAAACATAGCAATGAAAGTCTGCATCTTTTTCTTATTTTTAACTTTGTAACAAATGAATCTGAAGTCTCTCCATTAAGTAAAATGTATACGTGCTGTATATTTTTGGTATATAATCTTTACCAAGTTAAAGAAGCTCCCTTCCATTCAGAATTTGCTCTGAGTTTTTAAAAATCATAAATAGTATTGAACTTTACGAAATGTGTTTCCTGCATCAACTGAGATAATCATCAAATGAATTTTCTCCTTTAGTTCATTTTTTCCTTCCAAATTTATTGAGGTATAGTTGACAAATAAACATTGTATATATTTAAGGTATGTATGTATTGGTGATGTTTTGATGTACATATGCATTGTGAAGTGATTATAATCAAGCTAATGAACATATTCGTCACCTCACATAGTTCTCTTTTCTGTGGATGTGGTAATAGTTAAGATATAGTCTCTTAGCAGATTTTAAGTACATATACATTATTATTAACTACAGTCATCATGTTATGCATTAGGTCTCCAGAACTTACTCATAACCTTTGACCAACATTTCCCATTTTCTCCACCCACTGACCCCTGGTAACCATCCTTCTATATTAAGTGAAATAAGCCAGATGCAGAAAGACCAACACTGCATGACCTTACTTATATGTGGAATTTTAAAAAATCAAAAGCATAGAAACAAAGAGAAGGGTGGTCTTTTTTGTTTATTGATGTGGCAAATTACACTGCTAGGTATTACGATGTCAAACCACACTTGTGTTCCTGGGATGAACCTCACTTGATCATGATGCATTTAAAAAAATACATACTCTTGGATGTTTTTAGCTCATAATTTATTAATGAGCTTTACATCTACATTCATGAGGAACAGACTTATGCTTTTCTCTTGCTATCGTTGAAATCAGTGTCACACCAGCCTGTGGAGGGAGGCTGAGCAGCTCTCTCTCTGCTTTTCTGGGAAAGTTTATCTACAATAAGGTAACTGTTTCTTAAAAGTTTGGTAGAAATTACCTGTCAAATTACCTGGGAATTTTGGG